CCGCCCGCCGTTGCGGCTGATGGAGTCGCCATGTTCCGCAGGGGCCCGTTCAGAATGATTATGAATGCAAAAGGATTGTCCACCGCCAGTATACTCCGTAATTTTCTCTCTGTCCGGAGTTCAAAATTAGAACGGGGAATATTTGCCTTAAGGGAAAGATATGGGAAGCCTTCGCGCTTTCTCAGATTCCCACAACGGCTTGTTGGAGTATCTGCTGCTCTAATGGGCTCTCATGAAGATCAGGCTGAGGTATTGACGTCCTTGGCACAAGATCCCTCCGAATGTGATGTTCAGATAGTTAGTTACTGCGCCACTCACGATGGGTCTGCATCCTTCACACCATGTAAGACTGAGGTTGCAAGCTATCATAATTCCGAAGTAGGGATTGAGCCTGCAGCCTCCCTGCAGCCCTGCCTCGCTGTACCATTGACATGATGAACGCTGGAACTTCAAACACGGCAGGCGTCTCTGCCAAAGGATGCTGCTCTCTAGCACTACGTCACATCTTTATAACTATGAGATGCCATGCAGTGCTTGAGGGCTTAAGGAGAAAAAGATCGTCTTCTAAAGGGCATAAGAAATGGTCGATGGGAACGACTGCCTTTAACCGTCTTGTGGGGCAAGGCTCTGGGGCAATGGAAATAAATCAGGTGGCGCATCAGCCTTGATTAGAAGGGACAGTTGGTGGGGTGTCTCAATCGCAGTAGTGGTCGTTGGCTTGAGAGGGAGTGCCGGTAGCATAAGAGAGAGGCACGCTTCGCGACGGCGGATTTGAAATTGGATAACTTTAGAAATAGGGTATCAACGTATGCCTAATTATTAATGCAGTAGAAGCTCAGGAGGTTGAAGTGCTGCTTGAGCAGCTTATTGCTTGAATGCCGTGCCCGTGATTCGTTCCGCAGAAAACGCCAAGTCTCCAAGGGGACTAAGACTCAAACAGACCCTGCTCCCGCTGATAAGACTTAAGTTTGAATTATTAGCTAGATGCCTTCAGAAAGATCTGGGTAAATCAATCAGAGAGCCCAAACTTACCTGATGATCCTCCACGAAAGCCGAAGTCTTTGGCCAGCGCCATCTTTCGTCTTACTAGACATCAGATCACAAGTCAGCGACACTCTTTATCCCTCGGTTCGCCTGCGATTGATTTGCACTTAATTCCAGGACTTACCTCCGTCAATTCCCTCATGCACCTTCTCAGCATGAGCTAGTCCATACTCCCAGACATGGCAGCACCACAGAGCCACAAGCATGTGAAATTGGGCGCGCGTTAGAGTTGCTGTCACAACTAAGCTGTGCTGCTTGTCTTCGTTGTCATGCATGATTGCCACAGAGTTCCCCTGAGCATCTGCCCATTCATGCCCATCCGTGGTGAACACGGCTTCTGCGCCCTTGACAAAATTGGTGACGCCGACTTTGCTGGTCTTCCCGTAAACATCGACTGGCACCGCGGCGAAGCGCTTCTTTCCTGGCTTGAGCGAGTGGCTCTTCTTCATACCCAGGTCTTGCAGTCCCGGGATAGCTCGGGTTTGTCGTTTGATGTGATACTTTGGGGAGTCAGACGGCAGCCTTGTGTAGGCACCCGGCCCGAAGCGCATGTGCAGCAGGTCGTATATGTGACGTTCACGTGCTGTGCCGTCTTTCCTAGACTCGATACGCGACAATTCCACTTCTGTAGTAATATCCGTAAGGTCTGCAATTCCAAGGCTAAGGCGATAGATTGGTGGTGAGTCTGGGGTCATTACGTGGATAGACTGAGCGGCGAGGATGAGGGTGGTGGGTTGACAAAGTTCTTGGCCTGGCTGTGACGCGACCTCGTACGTTGGAGGGTCCATGCCCATGGATTCGTTCGTTTCTGCCATGATAATTTTTGACGTCTGTATTGGCTGTAGGATACTGGATGGTTTGTGAGGTTTGTGTCGGCTTCCGAAAATATTGTGGACAAGAAACAGGGGTGATATGTGCCCGGGTGAAGGTGGTGGTGAGATGATGTGCGGAATGAAGAATGACGCAGGACGGGGGATGACGCAGTTAAACACGATTGGGAAAGAGTGCTGCTAAGGCTGACTTCCATCTTTTTAGCTGCAACCGACCCGTGTAAGAAGAATGGAAGGCGTTGCCTGATGGAAAACTGCCATGCAGAGTGCACCGCCACCGCCCGACTTGGCGGTCGCCTTAAGGTGCTTGGCGCAGTGCCGACCAAGCCCGACGTGCCACCCAACATCAGAGTAGTTCAACGAGGGAAGCAACCGCAATCAGAATGAAAAGATATCATGGCATAGTTTCTACTCGACTTCTCAAAAAAAAAAACACGGCGTTAGAAAATATTCACATCGGAAAGAGATCGAAGTACCTTGGTCAAAACCCTAGGAGCTAAGAGTTTCCCACACCAACACAATCATCATATCAAACGGACGAGAGCCCCAGTAAGACAAAAAGAAGCCCAGCTCGCTAAACGCATGTATCAGGCGCAGCAACAAACGTGCCAGCACATGACTCTCAGCGGAGAAGATGAAGATGCAAATGACCCGGAGGGTGCTGAGCAGTGGAGACATGCAAGATGCGGTAGAAGTCACGCGCACGACGATGAATGTGCGCACACTTCCAGCGACGTTTCCACCCAGTAGTTTTGTTTACAAATGGTGTCAATCTTTTAAATTTGGTGTCTTCTTCCATATAAGAATTTGATGCGAGATTCTTTGGAATAAAGATTGCTTTGATTGGGGGAAGAGAATCACTTACACACGCTGCCTTTCTCATGAGGTTCTTCGAAATCCCAATAGCGACGTTCAGCCACGAAGTCTCTGGAGTGCAGCCGCATTACAAGTTGCTCCGGATATTATTGTTAGTGAATTGTCGATTTAGTTAGAGGCTCCTTGCGATCTAAGTTTGCCCGCTAACAAGATCTCACGCGAGCTATGACGCTATCGAAACGGAACTCCACAGGCTTCACTGCTGAAAGTAGCTTACTTTGACTACTTTCCTCGAACATGATATCTACCTGCAATTACCTTAATTACGCAGATGTCTTAAGCTGAAGCAGCCAGTTCTACGCCAAGAGACACTGCGACAGCACCAGTAAGATTTCTCTCAATTTCAGAGTACACCCATGTCCGACGATACCGGTGCATCCGCGGCTCATCCGACTGCGCCGTCTTCACAGTTCACCTATCGTGACTTGCAGCTTCTATCACAATCTTCGCCAGAATCGCATTTACGAGTAGTCGCATTGGTCGACTACGACTCTTTCTACGCCCAGTATGAGTCGCTCAGGCTTAGCCTACCCCCCTCCAAGCCCCTCGCAGTCCGCCAGTGGAACGCCATCATCGCGCTGAACTACGCGGCCAAGGAACGGGGTGTCAAGAGGATCATGTCTGCCGATGATGCACGTCGCATCTGTCCAGAGATAGTGCTCCAGCACGTTCCTACGTGGAGGGAGGGCGACGAGCGCTGGAGGTACCGGGATGATGTGCTGGATCATCTGAAGACGGATAAAGCCTCCCTTGATCCCTACCGCGCTGTGTCGCGTAAGACCATGCATCTCGTCAGGAAGCTCCTACCAGCCAAGCCTGCCCCGACGATCGAGAGAGCTGGTGTGGACGAGTTCTACCTCGATTTGTCGGCCCAAGTCCACCGAACGTTGGTGGAACAATTCCCTACATTGACACCAGTCAATATGAGTCTGGACGATTACCTACCCTTACCTGCGGCAGACACATCACTGCAATGGGGCAAAGAGAAAGTCATGATGCCAGCAGACTCAAGGAATCTTGACGAGGTTCTCGACTGGGACGACGTGGTACTAAGTATTGGGGGTAACATCGTTCGAAACATACGTGAGGAGATCAAAAAGCAGCTGCAGCTCACCACCTCTGCTGGTATAAGCTGTAACAAAATGCTCGCCAAGGCGGCTTCTAGGATGAACAAGCCAGCAGGCCAAACAATAATGAGGCGCAAGTCCATTCCCATCATCATGCCAACCCTCAAAGCTACTTCGCTCTCCGGGTTGGGAAGACAACTAGGTCAGAAGGTTGTCAAGACCTTTGGCTCCGACAACATCCGTGATCTACTCCAGGTCTCCCTCACGGAAATGAGATCGCAACTGGGAGCCGAAGACGGACTGTGGGTGTACAACGCAATCAGGGGCGACGAAAAAGGCCCTGTCAGGCCCCGGAGCGAGGTCCAGTCATTACTAGCCGCGAAGACCTTCATACCGAAAGCGGAAAATCTACAGCAAGCGGACAAATGGCTTCGGATATTCGCAGCAGACCTGGAATCTCGATTGCACGACCTCGATCTTGACTCCGAACTCCCTAGACGACCACGAACGATTGCAGTACACCACCACATCAATGGCCGCTTTGGCCCGACACGCTCAAAACAGGCACCCATCCCTCCTCAAATTGAGATCAACAAGGAAACCATTTTCGACATGCTACATGACCTTCTGAGAGATCTCACTGAGCACGGGGAGTCTTGGCCGTGCTTGGGCGTATCAGTCAGCATGTCCAACTTGGATTCTGGATTGCCTGCGCCTCAAACCGGGCGCATCACCTCTTTCTTTGCCACCGAAAACTCTCGCAGTCCTCGCAAACGGGGAAGAGAAGAGGATGTATGCGGTGCTTCTGGGAGTTCAGCTAAGCGGCAGGTTGTTGCATCATCGAATGTATTCAGGTCGCCAGATGCGGCGGATGGGGCAGAGGAACATTACTATTTGTGTCCAAACTGCAGCGAGGCTGTGCAGCCAAGTGAGGTTCTAGAACATCTGGACTGGCATGTTGCGATGGAGGTTCAGAATCAACAGTTTTAGTGGTCTTGATTAGATAATGATGTATCATGTCCAGGTCCCTTTTCATCATCCTCGTCGTTCTCGCCATCTTCGTAGTCTTCATTGTCCTCGTCATCCTTGTCGTCGTCCTCAACCATTCCCGAACTGACTTCAAGGGCTCGTTTATCCGTTAACATTGAAATCAGTGTCCAATGGAAGATTGACCGAATGTAAGTCATGTCGATGATTCCAATTCGTATTCCACTGCGTCAAGATGCAGCGTATCATCATCGTCGGCTTTTGGCCATGGCCACCAGCCATCGAGCGGCAAGTTGCCGTATATGTTGTTGTAGAAAGATTCGGGACTGTCACATACCCACTTGTAGAGATCCTCAACATAGCTGCTCGTCCCATCCTTCGCCCATGCGCGAGCCCAACTCATGTTTTTCCTGCTAAGGTCAGTGACGGCAAAACTGTCCAAAGTAACACGGTCGCGAGCATAGACAGACATCTTTGCCGTCCAAAAAGGGTTGTCTCCCCGGTCTGACAAGAAGAAGTTGCGAGTGCACGTCCACCCCATCTGCGCAAACATCCTGGGTTCCCTGTGGTGATCTAGGGCCTGGGTGTAAGTGGCTTTGAAGTCGAAGTTGGCAGTGGTCCAGAAGAACCCTCCGCGCATGAGTCTTTTGAGGTCTGTTGTTTTGACGCAAAGCCTGACTTCCATTCTAGGCTCGGTACCTGTTTGGGGTGCCAAGGGGTGCGGTGAGTCCCAAGTGAAAATAGCCTGTGGTTCGACGTTCTTCCAGGGCTGCGAGTCGTAGTGTTGCACGCGATGCGCGTGGGATGATGAGTTGTAATATGGGGGATGCCTATCTGGGAAAGAACTTACGCCAGTTGCCACGTGCGGAACCGCCGACTCTACAAGGTCTCTCATTGTGCCGGCCGACGGTATGAATGCTGATAAGTAGCTATTGAGGCACAGTTTGTACGCAAAATGCTTCGCGTGGAAACGTACAGGAACTTGTACTTCCTGGAAAGGATATTTGGAGCTTTTGGTAGGTGAGTAGGGACGAATGTATGTCAGATTGGGGGAAGGGCAGAGGACACTTGTGGTGGCAATGAATGTTATAAGCTGGTCGCAAGCAACCGGAGAAAGACTGTTGTGCTCCACATAAGGTTTCGAGAAGCATGGCTTTATGTTCTCCTTGGTGCTATATGTTGCATACCTTGCTGTTGACGCACATGCCTGTCCGGCACCCTGAACCTAAACCGCCGTCATCCGGGTATCATTTCGCTCCGCCAACTCAATATCGGTCCAATCCTCAACTGGATGGTTCCGTATCTTCGCCGTCAACAGTTTTGTCTTTCTTATCCCCACTCTTCTCCTCGGGTTTCTCGGGCGCCTCTGAAGCCCCATCTTCTTCCACTGATAACTCAGGCTTCGGCCGCCAGTACAGACACGTGCTTGAGAAGGAGGTGTATGTTCCGTCCTGAGGAAAGGCGAATTGCTTGTGGGAATTGTGCATATCGCTCATGCACTTGAACTCGCCGTCCTTCAACGTTCCAGCTCTGTGCGTGTCAGTGTTGATCACTTTCATCCAGTGGAACACGTACCCATCCCAAACATCCCACCCGGTGCCGACAAACATGGCTGGCAGAGCCTTCTCCAGAGTGGCCTCATATATCGGGCGATACATGTGAATGGCAAACACGAGGGTGTCCTCGTCGACGGCCTCGAAGGCAGCGGGGGATTCGACTACTTCGTGGTCGAGATTCTCCAGGAACTTGGTATCATTGGGCGTGAATCGCGGTTCTTGGAAAGAGCATGGAATTGTCTCGTTGTAGATGGCAGCTGTTGCTTGGTAAGTTTTGATTGGCGTTTAAGCAACGGCGAATATACATACATAGAGCTTCCACTACAGTCAGAAACCCATCCAGCTGTATGTAACTCCTCCTCTTCGCGTCCCAACCGCCGTCCTCGGGGTCAAACGTGCCGACCCCCAGACAAACCGCCTTCTTTACCCTCCTCCCCTCGCCTGCGTTCTTCCGGACAAGATCCTTGATTCGCTCATGACACGTCGTGTCTCGCCAGCGGGCCTTGAACCCCTCGTATTCGGCCGTTATCTCGTCGACAGACTTGAATATGCGGGGTTCATTGCTCTTGGCCGCCTCCAGGGCTTTCGCGGGTACCTTGGGCGGTTTCCTCCGAAACCTCGACTTGGACTTGACAAAAGTCCATTCCTCCTGCGCTGGCTCGCTCTTGGTTTCTGTGGTTGCTGCTGATGCCATTTTGTGCATGCGTAAAAGGGATTATTGGGTTTGGCGGGGGAAGACGCTTTGGAGGGATGAACTTTTTGACCGGCAGAATAGGCACCGCTTTCCTCACCAGAATCTGTCAATTGGCAGGCGGTGAAAATCACATCGGCTCAATCACTTATCGCCGATGGCCCAAGCTCCCACTCCAGCTGCAGCTGCAGCTGCTCCTGCCACCACCGCTGTCACTCCAGAAGGTCGCACGCCTAAAATCTCACGGCTCCCACCAACGCGGTCGAGAGCCCGGAATAGAAGCATCGAATGCAGGCGACGATCATTCTCACCATCCTTTCCTAGGAATACCAAATACTCCTTGGTTTTTCAAATTCTATGCCGTCTTTCCGCCTTCCTCCGGCTCTAGACATTTGACAATCGACGTCCAGCACAAGTGAGACATAACGTGGCACGACATCCGGCCGTCACCTCGACCGCCAGGCCAATTCCACAAGACAAAGAAAACCATCCAATTGGGACTCGTTCTCGGTGTTCTCTCAAGTGGCAACGAGGGACCCCGAAAGTCCACGCGGCGGGCCTCGATCGGCAGGCTGGAATTCACAAGTCCGGAGCTCTGCGCCGTCAGCTTACCACCATTCGGCACTCTACCCAACAACATCCCCAAGCGCCGTTGGACAAACCCGTCACCAACACAATCAACTCATCACCTCTGCAAATCGCACGACCCAGAGCACAAATCAGTCTTGCATCTCCCCGAGATCGAACGCTCTCCCACCCCGAAAATCCTGCCCGTCCGGCCCCCAAAAATAGCGGCCCCCATCGCCTTGGATTTTCCCAACTCTCACCGTCCACCATGCGTTGCAATATTCTTCCAGCTAACAGCTCGCAGCTTTCACCTGCAGCACAGCTCCCGCAGTCAGCAGTCAGATCAAGCACAATAGCCAAATGACAAGCCAAAGAGAAAAGAGTGTGGTGACATCGCCGCCTGCAGCCCGCACCTCGGGCGCTTACACGCCCCTCGACCCCTGTCGCCCCCAACCACTCACGACCCCCGACAACCTCGAGGAAGATGTGATACGCCCTCCCATTCGCTCCGTGGCCCCAAATGCCCAGCGCCTCGCCCGCGGCCTCTCTCCCCCGTCCCCAGCCGCCCATTGGTTCCCCGTCCACCTCCACCCGGTGCCGTGAGCGAGCCAGCAGGGGAGGGGGCGGATGGCCGTCCTGCAGGCCCAGCGCACATCGTTACTGGCTCCCGCCGGGCCCCAATCTTTACCGGTGCACTCCAGCGTGCCACCAAACCCCCGTCCAGACCGTCGAGCCCGAGAGGAGGCTCGCCTTCTCGATTGGACGGACCTGCAATGTGCAAACTGCATGGTGCGCTGCGGGAAATGGGATGGGATAATGGGGCCTGCAGCGACGGCGGCGGCTCGCAGCCTGCGGGCCAGATAATAGCCTGACGGGCCGCCCTCGGTGTGCGTAGTGTTCTTCCTTCTCTCCTCCTCTGCTAGTGCGGTGTTGAAATCTCCAAAGTCTTCGAAAAGCTACGAAAGCTGCGATCAGGAACATTTGCGACTGGGAAGAGACGGCGTTCTTTCTCCCGACATTCTGCGCCGGCAAAAGCAAACATCATACGGACCAACCACCCCGGCGAACAAACCCCAAGGCGGGGTTGAATCGAAGCGAACGGCTGTGCGACAAAGACACAGCTCCCGACGGTTGAGATTCTCGTTGAAGAGGAGGCTTCGTCGTTGACTGTTCTACGAAATACGCCTACATTTTACACCCAAACACAACCGCCAATATGCTCGCCTCAACAATCTCAGCACTCCTCCTCGCCGCGACGGCCTCCGCCCACATCGTCATCTCATACCCAGGCTGGCGCGGCAACAACCTCATCACCAACGAGACATGGCCCTACGGCATGCAATGGAACTACCCATGTACGTTTCTCACCCATTCTCTCCTCTCTCTCTCGCCGTAACTGACACAAAATCTTACAGGCGGCGGCATGGGCGTGACCAAGAACAGAACCTACTGGCCGACAACAGGCGGCGCCCTCTCCTGGCAACCGGGCTGGTTCCAGGGCCACGCGACAGCCTTCATGTACGTCAACATGGGCTTCGGCACCGACGGCCCCGACGGCGGTCCCATCAACATGTCCTTCCCCATGATCCCCGTCTTCCAGATCCTCGGCCCCAGCAAGAACCCCTACCCGGGCACCGTCTGCCTCCCGCAGGTGCCTCTCCCCGCCAACACGACCGTCAAGGCCGGCGACCACGCCACCATCCAGATCGTCGAGCTCGCCGTGCACGGCGCCTCTCTTTTCTCCGTAAGTCCCGTCCCCTCCTTCTTACAGTGTAAGTGCGTTTGCTGACCATGCCCAAAAAGTGCGTCGACATCGAATTCGCCGAGCCAGGCGACCCGAAAATCGGCAAGGTCAACGACTCAAACTGCTTCAACTCGCAGGACATCGGCTTCGCGGACGTCTACACCATCACCACCAAGGAATCCGGCCAGGCCGCCGCCGAGGCCGCCACCTCCGGCGCGGAGCCCGGCAGCGCCGTCACGTTCTGGTACATGGGCAAGCGGCCGCAGAGCGCCTGGGCCGTCTTCAGCTGGGTGCCGATCGTCGTCGGCGGGCTCTGGGTGTTGCTGTAAGGAAGTGCGTACGTGCGCGACGTGATGGGAAGCAGCTGGAGTGAGATGATGATGAAACGTTGGGTGGAATGGGATTATACCTCGGGACATTATTGTATATTGGCATCAAAGATGGCGTTGGGAGGGATCAAGTCTGGGCGAGAAAAGCCTCACTACTACACTCGTATTATTATCTAACTGTTTCTTATTTTTTCAATGAATGAAATTCTTCAGTTGAATATTGACCGCGGTGAACTGTTGGTGCTCGCGATCTGCATCGTTTCAATACGTTTCTCGGTAAGAATTGGCAGTGAACGCGCTATTTCTACGATCATCGCCTCTGGCCCAAGATTTGTGCCTGGAAGGAGCGGCGTGTGATGGTGGAAAGCGACGGCGCTTCCGGCACTTGACCCGGCCGCGTACCCGGACTGGACCTACTTCAGCACCCAAGACTCTGCGAGTCAAAATGAGTATCCCCAGGATTGTAAACATGAATCATGGGAGCGGTTTCATTACGCTCCAAATCGCGTTCTAAGCTAGCTGTCTCTCAATTGCTCATGCTGCAGTTCATCGCATTCCTATCGCGTCCCCGCCGGTGTTTCGCCGTGGCCTCAGCAAGCGCGGGCACCCTGACATCACGCGGCCGTCACTCTCCGGCCCTCCGTGCTCATGCTTATTACTAGAACCCCATCACACCTTAGTTATTCACAACTGTTGCAGAGCCTCCCTACCCAGCTCCTTCACCCGGACTTCCGACACCTTATCGACGGCAGACTTGATCCAGCCTTCGCCCCCGAGAGACTTGATCTCTGCCTTACTGGTCGAAGCGAATGTTCCCAGTGCGACAAGAGCGCGATAGACGACCTCTGAGTCGCTCTGCTCGGACAGAATTTTGCCGACGGCCGTAATGAAACGCTTGGATTGGAATGAAGTCCTCTCCTTGTGGGCATAGACGGCGTAGTTGATCAAAGTGGTAGTCGCCGCAATGAGGATGTTCCGGTTGAACTGGCCGATGGCTGCACTGCCAGAGAGACCAAGTACCTTCTCGAGCAGAGTCGCTGCAGTGTCAGCCTCCTTTGCTGCGAGCGCTTCGCCCTTTGGTGAGGTGAAGATGTTGGCGAACGTGCGCAGGGCCATCATCACCGAGTTCTCGTTAGGAGCCGCGCCATCGGGCGCGTTCAAGGCACTAGACACGGCAATGCGAAGGAATGAACCTTCAGATGACGAGGCGTCCGCAGCAAGAGGCGACGTCGCAACGCACCTCAGAAGATCCAGCCCCGCCAGACGATCCGAGTAAGGCCACAGGGTCACAATCTTGACAGCAAGGTCAATGCCGGCCTGGTCAACAGGCTTGGAGTTCTCGATGGAATCCTTCACCGTGTTAAGGGTGTTTTGCTCGGTTGGGTTCAAAGCCGCATCCTTCCGACCAGATGAAATCATGTTTGCGTTGATGGTAAGAATCTTCTTGATCATGGCATCGTATTTGCCAGCCGTGATGTTCAGATACTCGGCTTGCGGCAAAACCTTGGGCCTCAACTCAGACTCGCCGGGTCGATATCTTGACTCCGTGCCATAAGGATCAGAGGTGGCTGGCGCAGACTGGCCAAGAGTCGCGCCTTGGGTGTTTTGTGTGATGAAGTTGGCGACATTGTCGAGATAGCTGATTGGAAGCTCGTTATCGTTCAGGAACTTCGTGGCAGCATCGTAGGGGTTCTGAGACAGGTTGTAAGGCAGCTTCAACGGCGGCTTGCCATCCTCAATATCGACATCGAAAACGTAGTCGTAGGACTTGCCATTGTACTCGGTCTTCTTGCCGCTGCTTCCCGCTGAGTCGACGACAGTTCCGATGTTGATCCATTGTTGTTGGCCTACAGCATGTCAGTAACGTCGAGGATTGCTTTATCTACTGCAATCACTTACTGGCTGACCACTGGTGGGCGGTAATGTTGCCATTGCCCTGGTTGATCATCTGCACCTGTCCCTCCTTCGTACCGGACCTAGACTCGAGGAACTCTGGACCGGGAAGCTGTTCCTTGTTGATAGATGGCAGCTGCTGCTGAGGAATAGATGAAGCCTTGACAGACTCCTCAAAGTCGGAAATGGCCTGGGCACTGGCTGCCCGCTCGCTGCTGCGGGTGAAGACGCGCGCAACACCGTCACTTGCTCCCGACACAAGGTCACCAGTCTCGGCGTTGACCGCAACAGCCCACACCGAAATTGCAGGGTGAGTAATGGTCTGCACGCAGTCGTTTCCCTTCCATACACGAACAGTACGGTCCTCGCCGGAGCTTACCAACTCACCCGAAGGCAAGCTTGCCAGGGCATAGATGAAGCTCTCGTGGCCATGGAGCTCGCCAACCTGCTGGCCGTTCAGTTTCCACAGA